AGAAGAGCTCATGGACATTTTGGCAGACCCACGGCAAACATTCAGGATACTGGTTACCACTCGGTCCCTGCCCTACTGAGCTGGCTTTTAAATCAATTGTCTTATCTTGTATTTCCAATTACAAGAATAATACTTGGCTATGTGCAAGAAATCCAGACCATTCTGAGGAGAGCGGAAAGGAAGGATTCTGTGCCTTGTTTCTCTTTGACAGTTCTCAGTTCCCACAGGGAAGCAGATAAATTGGAGAATATTCTTTCATATTCCTTCTTTACATATAAACACGCATCACAAACAGATGTGATCCTACAGCACAAGTATTCTGAAATCTGCTTTATATTTTCTCAACCGTGCATGGAAGCATCTCCAGAACTACAAGTTGATTCAACAGTAAAATTGTGTTCTGCGGTATGAGAATGCTACAGTTTAATTACGTTAATCCTCTACTGGTGGAAGTTAAGACTGCTTCTAGTTTTTCCTTCTGAAAAACAACACGCCCCTGTGCAAATGTAATTCTGTAGTTCTGCAAGGATTTGGATAAGTTAAATTCTCAGAAGTGAAATTTCCAGGTCAAAGAAAACAGATGTTACCATTTGGAAGGCTTTGAGGCTGCAAGATTCAGAATTCCTACCTCAAAGTAGGAGTTTGTTAACACAAAAAGAGGAAGTTGCACAGGTCTAGAGAGACCGGGATTTAATTTTTGGAGTTGGATTGGTCATTAAATGCCCTTAAGTATTTTTTTTCCTGTTCTGCCATCCCTGGTGCATTTACCTTATTATGCTTTGGACATACAAAGTATGGCAGGAATAGGAGTCCTTTTCTTTCCCAGAAGCCCATTGTCTGCCTTCTCCTCCTTTCTTATTGGCCAGGATGATGTCACATGCCCTTGCCTAAGCCAGTCATTGCCAAGGGAAAAGGACTGATTGGCTTAGCCCAGTGCCTGGGAAAGGATCAAAACTGAGGCTTTACCAGGAGGAAAGAAGGGAAGCTGAATTCTGTAAGAGCCAGAGTGCCTGCCTTGCTCATTTCTGCAGAGGTTACTAAGCGGCATCATAAAGATGATTGCAGTTCACACTCTCAATGACTGCAGGCTTTGGGAATACCTATTTCTCTACCCTCATCAACCAGGCTTTCCGTTTTTTTTTTTTTTTTTTTTTTTTGGTACCAGGGGTCGAACCTCAACCAGGCTTTCTTCTCATCTTAGTCTCAAGTGTCAAGTGGCTTCTTCTTTTAGTATGTGGCTCTTTTATCAGTGAGTTTGTGTCTTTTATTAATGATTTATATTTCCTGTGAGTTTCCTGTTCACGTTCTTTGCCCATCTCTTTTTCAAGTCTCAAGTTTTATTGGTACATGTTTACAGTATATAATGATTGCATTCATCATGGGGAGGTTGGTACATGGATATCACATATCCTAATTGTTCCCTCTCCCCTCCCTTCTTCTCTTGGTCCCCTCCCGTCTTTTTAAGTAATAATAGTGATTATAGAATAATAATATTAATTGAAGGCTTACCGTGTGCCAGATGGCTCATTTAACTCTCACAGCCACCCTATAAAGTACATATTGTTTTCTTTGCTTTCAAGATGAGGCAAGTGAGGTGTAAGAAACTGAATAGAGACTTTGGATTAGATCATGTGTGCACCTGGCCATGCAGCCACACACTGTGGTGACATACTGAGAGAGTCATTTCCTGTTGGGTCCTTAGTTCACAGCTGTATTTTGGGAAACAGCCCATTTGAGGCAGATCCAGTTTGAAATTCCTAGGTTATAGGAACCTGGAGTCGGGGATTCAGGGACTGTCTTGCCTGGCTGCAGAACCTGGGCACATCTGGGCCTTCATCCTTCCTTCCGTCCTTCCGTCCTTCCTTCCTCCCTTCCTTCTTTTCTCTGTTACTGGGGCTCAAACCCAGAAGCTTCACATTGAGCTATATTCTCAGCTCTTTTTATTTTATGTATATATATATTTTTTGTTTGTTTGTTTGTTTGGTACCGGCGATTGAACTCAGGTCCTTGCGCCTGCAAGGCAGGCCACCGAACCTCTGAGCTAAATCCCCTTTTTTTTTTTTTTTTTTTTGTACTGAGGATCAAAACTCAGGACCTTGGGCTTGTGAGGTAAGCAGCAGAACCACTGAGCTAAATCCCTGGCCCTTTATTACACACACACACACACACACACACATTTACTTTTTATTTATTTATATATTTTTGAGACAGGGTCTTGGTAAGTCTCTGATTTGTTCAGGCTGAGCTCAGACTTGGCACTCTCCTGCCTCAGCCTCCCATAGTGCTGGGATTAGAAACATTCACTGCCACTTCATGGGTCTAATCCTAATCCTGGAAGTTTTCATGTCCTACATGCTTTTTTTTTTTTTCTTTAGGTGCCCCCTCCAAATTGTGCCTCATGCTCACCTTCAAAGTACCCACTTCTCTCTTCAGTTGAGAACAACTGACCCTTTAACCACTCTCTCAACTCAGGCTGCCGTAACAAAATGCCAGTGGTGACTTTTGGTTTACCACATTCACAACAGGGCTGTAATTTGTATGTCTCACTGCCAGTGAGGATAGTTTTGCATGTACCACCAGTGGTTCAAGCTGATGGGAAAGTGTTAAACAACAGGCATTTATTTTCTTAAATTCTGGAGGCTAGAAGTCCTAGATCAAGGTGCTGGCTGAAGCTGGGTAAAGTGACTCATACCTGTAATCCCAGCTACTTGGAAGACTGAGGCAGGAGGGTCATAAGTTTGAGGACAGCCAGGGCAGTTTAACAAGACTGTGGAGAAGGGGGATGTAGTTCAGCACTAGAGCACTTGCCTGGCATGTGCACACCCCTGGATTCAATTCCCAGTACCACACACAAAAGAAAAAAGAAAGGTGTGGCTGGTTTGGTTTCTGTCAAGGACTCTTCCTGGCTGACAGACCTCGCTGTGTCCTCACATGGCCTTTCCTTGTGTGTCCATGGGAGGAAAGATGGGCGAGAGCAAGATGCTGCTATCTCTAAAATGACCCTGACCCAGGCCAGGCATGGTAGTGCACGCCTGTAATCCCAGCACTTGGGAGGCTGAGGCAGGAGAATCGCCATGAGTTTCAGACCAGCCTGGGCTACATAGTGAGTTCCAGGTCAGTCTCAACTACATAGTGAGACCCTGTCTCAAAAAAAAAGAAAGAAAGAAAAAAAATAAATGACCCTGATCCTATTGGGTCAGGGCCCAGCTCTATTGAGCTCATTTACCCTTGACCTCTGTGTGTGTCCTGTCTCCAGGTAGAGTCGCCTTAGGGATCAGAGATTCAGCTTGTGAGTGGGAAGGACACAGACACTCAGTCAACAGTGTGTCACCACTGGTCCTCAAAATCCATGTCTTTTTTTTTTTTTTAATCCATGTCTTTATCACAGAAAAAACACTTTTTTTCCAGGACTAGGGATGGAATCCATGGCCTTGCACATGCTAGGTATATACTCTACCCCTGACCTACATCCCTGGCCTTTTTAAAATTTTTAGTTTAAGATCAAGTCTGGGGGACAGTGAGGAGCTGGCACAGTTGTTTAGGGACTGGCAGAGAGTCTGGGTTTTGACACAGAGGGCTCAGCAGACATGGCCGTGCCCTGTGGTCCTCTTGGTCAGGCTTACTGCAGCCTCCCTTGCAGGGGCTGGGCCAGACCAGGTGGTGCACCCTTGTCTTCTTTGCTAGATTAGCACTGTCCAGGGCAGGGATGGGCTCTGACACCCCCACCCTGTGACTCCCCAGGCTCTGGGTGCATCAGAGGAACAAGGGGTGATGGGCCCACTCAAAGGGGAGAAGGCTGTGTAGGGAGATTTCTGTTGCAGTTTGGGAAGGAAGGAAGCCCATAGGCTCTGCTGTGACTGGGGCCTAAGGGCTTTGTTTCACCATCAGGAAGCTGAGGACAGAGAAACCAGCTGAGCGACCAGGACCTCTGCTGCCAGGCTCCTGCAATCAGAGGAGAGGGTCACAGCCAGTGTCTAACCTGAGAATCACCTGCAGCGTGTTTAGCAAGAGGGAGAAGCAGTGCTGGCCCTGGCCCACATGTTTCCTGTGACACTGACCTGATCTGCAGCAGGTGCCGCGTACCTGTCACCTCCCAGCCCTGGCGGCAGCCTATGTGGCAGGACCTGCTCTTCCCCCACCTCCCCCTTGGGACAGTGAGGTCCAAATCAGTGATTGTGAACACTGGGATCAGACCTAGGCCTCTACCTACTCACCCTGAGGGGTTTGTGCCAGTGCCTGTGTCGCGGTCCCTCTGCCCAGTGTGAATGTGGTATGGCCACATGGGGAATGGCAGCCATGGGTGCACCAGAGAGGGTAGAGGGAAGCAGGATGGGCACCAGGTCCTGAGGCCGGGCCTGGCCTGAGCCTTATGCCCTGGCATTGCCAAGGCGAGGTGGGTATGCCGGCCTGCTGCTGCCTGGCCCTCCTCTCTGGGCAGCTGTCACCAGCATGCATGGAGGTGCTGCTGGTGGATATGAAAGGCAGCGTGTTCTGGGTTCAGACGCGGCCTTGGTTGCCTGCCCGCTCGTGATGGGACTCCCTGAGCTGCAGCGTGCCCGTGGGGAGTGACGGTGCAGAGACCGATACTCCATCCAGCACTGCTGGGAGAATTAGCTTGTCCAGGGGCCGTGGGGCTGGAACTGAGTACACCCTTGTACCTTCAGTATCAGCCATCAGTTTGCATGGCCTGTGTCCTCCTTCCTGTGGAGCTGGGTGGTGACACAGGTCTTTCCCTTGAATCCGACGGTGTCCTGAGCAGTCCTGATCCCAAGCCATGTGCGGAAAAGGATGGGGGCCTTTGCCCACTGGGGGCACCAGAGGAACTGAGTTGCATGGGACAAGGTCCTGGAGGGTGGTGGCGGCACGGTCTGATCCTGATAGTCCTGTGGACCCAAAAGATGCTGAGCCCCTGTGAAGTGAGAGGAGCCAGCCGAGTGGGGTGAGACGGGCGGTGGCGAGCAGGCCCTGCTGCCCGCTGATGGGTGGCACTCTCCCCCCAGAGACTGATGGAGAGGCAGAAACGGAAGGCGGACATCGAGAAGGGGCTGCAGTTCATTCAGTAAGCGGCGGCGGCTGGGTGGGGCGGGCTAGGAATCCCCTAAAGCCACGCTCTCAGGTTCTCCCTTTTTTTGCTGGCTGAGCCCCTTCTGAGCTGGAGCCCCTGCGCTCCAGTGAGCGCCGGGAGTGGAGGGGTTCGAGAGGGCAAGGGGCTGGCAAGCAAGGCAGAAGCGTGAGCTCCGCAGGCTGCACCCTGACCCGGGAACCTGTGGGTCTCGTGTATTTTGTCAGCCTTCAGTACCCAGCACCCCCGCACCAACGCTTCCTGCTCCTTCTCTTGCACACCTGCAGGCATCTGGGGATCGTCTAATAACTTGACAGCCTCCACTTGTGGGCTGTGTGCTATCTTTCAGTTTCTGTGCTGGGTATTCCATATTCTTCTGGCTTTTTTTTTTTGTTTTCCTTTTTTTTCCAATACCAGCATTTAACCCATGGTCTTTGTGCTGAGCTACATTTTCAGCCTTTTTTTTTCTTTTGTTGTTGTTGTTGTTGTTGTTGTACCAGGGATCAAATCTAGAACCTTGTGCTTATGAGGCAGGCAGTGATGCCACTGAACTAAATCCCCAGCCTCCCATCTTCAGCCTTTTAAAATTTCTCACCAAGTCACTAATTTGCCTAGGCTGACCTGGAGCTTGCAGTCCTCCTGCCTCAGCCTCCTGAATAACCTGAATTATAAGCATGCACCTTTTTACTGTTTCTGCCCTAGCCCCGCCCCTATACCCTCCCTTATTTCTGCCTTTTCCAGGCCCAGCCTTGGCTTCCTCTTTCCCCAAGAGGCACTGTGTCTGCTGTTAGAAGAGGGCTGGCTTCCTAGGGTTTGGGCTGGTACCTGCAGCCCTTTGAGCACCCAGGGGAGCCCAGGGGAAATGCAGGTCCCTTATGGGAATGGCTGGCCTGCATGCTGTCCCCTCCCCCTTGTCAACAAGGCACCAAGGGCTGAGATGAAGCCCTTGCCTGCCGTGACCACAGGCCTGCAGCTCCGTCCAGGGCCTCCGCAGGCTGGCAGCCATGCGCTCACATAGCCCCCGTGTCCCTCTCTTTCCCTGGCAGGTCAACCCTCCCCCTAAAGCAAGAGGAGTATGAGGTGAGTGTGGCCGGGCTGGATGATGGGGCAGAGAGGGGTGGTGTCAGGAAAAAGGGTCGTGTGTCTGGGCGGCAGGGAGCAGTCACCAGCCCATGCCCCACCCCGCACAGGCCTTCCTGCTCAAGCTGGTGCAGAATCTGTTTGCCGAGGGCAATGACCTGTTCCGGGAGAAGGACTACAAGCAGGCCCTGGTGCAGTACATGGAGGGACTGAACGTGGCCGAGTACGCGGCCTCTGACCAGGTGGCCCTGCCCCGAGAGCTGCTGTGTAAGCTGCATGTCAACCGGGCCGCCTGCTACTTCACAATGGTGAGCCTGACGCCCCTTTTCTCACCTTGCTCTCCTCGTGCCTTGGGTCCCTGCTCTGCCACCTCCTGTCCAAACCCCACCATTCAACCCTAGCTGCAACACAGACTCTCCAGGATAGCTTCAAAAGTACAGATGAGCTGTGATGGCAGCTCACATCTGTAGTGCCAGCTACGCGCTGGAGGCTGAGGCAGAAAGATCATTTCAACCCAGAAAACGGAGACAGCCTGGGTAACAGAAAACAAAACAAAACAGATATAGATGCATAATAAAAAGTGTTTAAAAACAATACCGAAGCCGGGCGTGGTGGCGCACGCCTGTAGTCCCAGCACTTAGGAGGCTGAGGCAGGAGGATCGCTGTGAGTTTGAGACCAGCCTGGTCTACATAGTGAGTTCCAGGTCGGTGTCAACTGCATAACGAGACCCTGTCTCAAAAAAACCCCAATAAATAAATAAATAAATAAAAATAATGCTGATGTCCTAGCCCTGTCCCAGATAACTGAGTTAGAATCCTGAGTTGACCCTGGGCGTTGGTGGGAGTCTGACCGCCTGATCTTCCCTCCCCTCCCTCCCCTCCCCACTCCCCCCACACTCCCTTGTCCCCAAGCCCAACCCCAGCACTACCTCTGCTCTGCTCTGCTCTGCTCTGCCCAGCTGCAGGCAGCACAAGAGCCTGAGGGGAGTGAGGGCCCCTCGCTGACAGCGGCAGCTCCTTCCCCCAGGGCCTGTACGAGAAGGCGCTGGAGGACAGCGAGAAGGCGCTGGACCTGGATGGCGAGAGCATCCGTGCACTATTCCGCAAGGCACGAGCCCTCAACGAGCTGGGACGCCACAAGGAGGCCTATGAGTGCAGCAGCCGGTGCTCCCTCGCACTCCCCCACGTGAGTTCAAACCAGCAGCTGTCCCCGAGCCTCAGGCTTCTCTCTGCAACATGGAGTCGCAGATACTGACGGGGAGTTATCTCTGCACTCAGCTCTGACTGTATACTGGGCTCTGCTAAACTCTCCTGCTGGGCATTAACTCACCCACTCCTCACCACAGCCCTGGGAGATAGATCTCTTATTGTATCTCTTTCAAAGGCAAAGGATCCAGGCACAGTGGCCCAAGCCTGTAATCCAAGCAGTCTGGGAGGCTGAAGCAGGAGGATCGCAAGTTTAGGTCCAGCATGGGCAACTTAGGAACTTAGCAAGACTCTGTCTCAACATTAAAAAAAAAAATTATACTGGGAGCTGGGAATGTGAGCTCAGTCTCTAGTACTCTAAAAGAACAGATAGAGAAGAGTGAAGAGAAAGGAATTACCCAAGATCGCAACAGCTAGGGGGAGGCAGGATTTGAACTTTAGGATTCTCAGGTCTGTGCCCTTGACCTCTGCACTCTGAGTACAGGGTTGCTCTGAGGATTAAAGCAGTGTCATATGTGCTGGGGTCCTGGTATTGGGGTTGTCATCGGGTGGGAAAACAATGGCAGATGACAAGACAGCCTGAGCACGGGTTGGCCCCTCACAGCTGCACACCTTCCTGTCCCATTTACTCACTTGTCTTTACCAAGAGCCTGTATCAGCAGAGACGTGTGCCCACCAGGACCCGCAGCCTAGGGGTGACAAATTCACAAACGGCCCTCGGGTCAAGGCCTGGCTAAACTGACCCTCAGTGTGATCTTAGACAAAGCACTTCCTGTCCACAGGTGAGCTCCGTGCCTGTAAGATGCCCTTCCTATTTTGTCCCTGAAATAACGGCTATGAAAGAGTTGGGAGAAGGGTACAGACTGTACAAGGCAGTCAGCACAGTGGCCAGACACACACTGTTCAGAATACATTAGAGGTCCCTTACTTCCTACTTCTCTGGGCATGGTAGCACATGACTAAATCCAGGACTCTGGGAGGCCGAGGCAGGAGTATCATATGTTGGAGCCCAGCCTGGGCAACCTATGGACTTAGCAAGACCTTATTTTAAAATAAAAGTACATAGCTGGGTGTGGTGGCGCACGCCTGTAATCCCAGCCCTCAAGAGCTGAGGCAGGAGGATGACCCAAGTTTGAGCCCCACCTGAGAAATTTAAGACCCTGTCTGGAAATGCTTGCATGCATGCGTGCTGGGGATACAATTCAGTGAGAAATAATTCAGATATAATTCAATCCCCAGTACTACTAAATAAATACCACAGCTGGGTACCATGATGCACGCCTGTTGTCCCAGACACTCAAGAAGCTGAGGCAGGAGGATTGCTTGAGTCCAGGACTCCTCATGTATGTGCTGCTGAAGCAAGCACAAGTCCAGGACTTCTAGAACAGCCTGGATGACACAGTAAGAATCCATCTCCAAAACAAAACAAAAAATACAATAAAGAAAGTAAAAACAGGTCTGGGGATTTAGCTCAGTGGTTCCGCCACCTGCCTCTCAAACACAAGGACCCAAGTTCAATCGCCAGTACCAAAAAAAAAAAAAAAAAAACTAAAAACAGAATTATTCCTTTGCCCTCAAAGAAAAGCAAAAATTGAAAGCACGGGTTTGTGAGTCCAGCCCCATGACTCCACAGCTGTGTCACTCCTGGGCCTCACTTCTGTGCCTGTCACAGGGTGGCCGGGGCCCCTTGCAGAGCTGCGCAGGGCTCTGGAGCATAGGTGTGTGGGCCGTGCAGCCTGACCTACCCCATGCCCTGTATCTCGCCTGCTCCAGGATGAAAGTGTCACCCAGTTGGGCCAGGAGCTGGCACAGAAGCTGGGGCTGCGAGTGCGAAAGGCATACAAGAGGCCCCAGGTGGGTGGCTCTGGGCCCTGGGGGCTGTGGAGATGAGGGTGAGGGAGGGGTTAGCGCTGCTGGGAAGGTGGGCAAGGTGGCCAGGCCGGGTGAGGACAGCAGAGTGAGTGACAGCAGGTGGCCTTTCCTCCCTGTTGGCCGAAAGCCCTGGAATGAGGACTGGAACCTCGTGGAAGAGGAAGGAACGGCCAAGGCTTCCTGCTCACCTCAGACAGCAGCTGTTGAGCACACTCCCTCCCCGCCCGGCCGCCTGCACGGCCTGGGAGGAGACCAGGTTGGCACTGAGGTCCTTCAGCCCGTGTTCTCGAATGACCTGCACATGGAGTCTGTGCGATCGGGGTCTGCTCGGCTCCTTTACTCCACGTAGATTCCACGAGCCAGGGTCTGCCGTGACCTGAGTGAGCCAGATGAGCTCCGCCTGTTTGTGCACCTGAACCATGGGGATGGATAACCATGCCTGTGTTGGGGGCCTCACGGGAGAAAGCAGAGGAGGGAATTTCTGCGTGGCTCCTAGCACTGTGCTTGACACAGAGCAGGAGTGCTTTCATTCAGTCCCTTGCCCAGGTCAGGAAGAAAACAATCTGGCCTGGGTTGACAGGGCAGGTGACAGCGGCAGGCTGGGGACAGGGAACCTCATGCCCACGGTAGACATTGGCAGCTGTGTCGGGGCTTCTCTGTTACTCTGACAGTGAGAGCAGTCTTCCAGAATCCTCATGTCTTCCCTCCTCTCTCCAATCCCTGGCAGGAATTGGAAACCTTCTCTCTTCTCAGCAATGGCACTGCGGCTGGCCTTGCCGATCAGGTAGGATGGGGCTGGGACCCTTACTCCGTACCCTGTACCCACCTGTCTGAGTTCATGCACCGTGAGAACTTCAGGTTCACTCTCTGGGGCGTGGGTGACCTCAGGCAGTACAGTGACCTCATCGCCAGCCAGTGGACTACAGATGGCACCGTGTCCGGCACGAGGAGCCCCACCCCCAGCCAGGCCTTTCACTTGTCCCTGCAACCTTTCTGGGGGCCACTGTCTCCACAGAGGTCAGGGCTGGTCACAGACAGGGAAGTTGGTAGAAAGCCCAAGTGACGCGCACTCCGTCGTGGAAAGGACCAGGTCAGCCGTAGTGCTACACAGAGTGACCATGGTACACTTGAGGGCTGGGTGGTGATCAGGCACAGCCCTGGCATCCTGTAGGTGGCACCCAGACCAAGTGAATGTTGGCTGGGACTCCTGCAGCCTCCCGTGTTTCTGCCCATCTGTCACTCCACAAGTGCCCTAGAAGTAGGGTGGCCTGGGCGGCCCCCACAGGGAGTTCTTAGGGCACAGGAGACAGGCAGGAGCCCTGCACAGACACAAGCTATCCCCTCAGTGGGAACAGGAGCCAGAGAAGGCTTCCCAGAGGTGGTGGGGCAGATCTCGGACGAGCTGAGTTAGGGCCAGCACATACAGCCAGGGCACAGCCTGGCAGAGGTGGAGTGGGGAAGGAGTGACCCCAGGGCACAAGGCCAGTTCCTTCTGGGGGGCACAGGGGAGCCTGGGCCCTGCAGCTGGACATGCTGGTGTTCAGATCCTGAGGGACCCCACCTGCAATGGCCACTCCTCTCAGGCTGTACTTCCTTATCTTTCTGTGGTGGTTTTGGGATATGTTGAGTCAGGAGAGTCCCAGCCAGCACCTACTGGAGACCTGGGCTCCATGAGCCTCGTTGCTAAGCAAGTGTTGAGGAGCCTGACAGTCACAGTGACGAGGCAGGGAGGTGACTGTCCAGCAGGGCCCAGGGTGCAGGCAGAATCACAGCTGTTCGTCTAGAGCCTCACATTTCCTAAGTCCAGCACTTGCGGAGAGATGAGAGCCCCGACCCACACAGCTGCCTTAGTCTGTGCGGCTTTGCTGTGCTGGGCAGACCCACCCTGGGGACAGAACTGTGGTATCAGCTGTGTCCCCCGTGGATGGGCTCGGGTGGTACTGGAAGGGCGCCCTGCGAATGGCAGCCTGGCCCCACACTTCCTCTGCGTGACACCTTGCTGGACACAGCAGTGGGGGTGAAGCAGTGGCCACACCTGGAAGGCAGTGGACACCTCTTGCTGTGCTTGTTCCTGCTGTCCTCTGTGAAAGGGTGGCTGACGTTGAGGGGCCAGACCTTGCCCAGCTTTCCACAGTAACATAGGAGGCAGGCGGCACCCAGGCACTTACCAGGGAGATTAAGAGAAAGAACGTTCTGGGTACGGGAATGACTTGCTACACATGCCCCAGAAGTGGGGCCCAGGCAGGGGAGTCTGCTTGGAAAGGACACCTAAGACAACCTCCTTTGAGTCACACTTTGTTTTTGATTTTGTTTTTTGAGATGGGGTCTCACTATGTAGTTGAGACTGACCTGGAACTCACTGTGTAGCCCAGGCTGGTCTCGAACTCACAGCGATCCTCCTGCCTCAGCCTCCCGAGTGCTGGGGTGACAGGCGTGCGCCACCATGCCCGGCTGCCTTTGAGTCACACTTTAAAATGTCCTGTGCATTTAGCTGGGTGTGGTGGCGCACGCCTGTCACCCTAGCACTTGGGAGGCTGAAGCAAGAGGATCATCACAAGTTTGAGGGCAATTTAGGCTACATAGCGAAATCATGTCTCAAAAACAAACAAAAAATGTCTTGTGCATCTGATAAATACTTATAAAGCACTTCCTGTGTGCTGGGCCCTGTTCTGAGCTCTTGACAATATCCAGTCACTTTAGCCCTGTAATAGTCCCAGGAGGTGGTGGCTGTGTAAGGAAATAGGCCCACAGAGGGTGAGGGACTAGTCAGGTCCAGCTTTCCTTGAACAGAAGGGAACATTAGCTGTGCATTGCCTTGGGGCCCCTTTATTTTCTGCCTCCTTAGGGGTTGGGGCTGTACCTGGGAGAGGGGACACAGGTCACTCGGGGTGGACACTTTTGTCCTTGAGCCACAACCATCTGTGGCACAGTGCGGAGGGGTTGTAACACCATTGCCATCCCCCTTGGTCTGGAGCCTTTGGCAGGTAGGAAACTGAGGCTTGAAGCTTGTGTTCCTCCCGAAAGGTGCATCCCAACCCCACACCCCCATATAGCCCATGCTTGTCCGACCCCAGGCTGTACCCCAGGGCTGACGTGTGACAGGTGTTTCGCATCCATCCCTGGTTACAGCAGAACCAGGTGGGGAGCGCCAGGCCCCCGGTCTGAGCCTGTGTCACCTGCCTGACCAATATCCCTGTGCCCTTCCTCTCCACAGGGAACTTGCAATGGATTGGGGTCCATAGATGACATCGAAACAGGTAGTATCCCTGATCAAGAGAACAGGGCAGAAATGGGGACCAGCCCTGTAGAGAGCTGGGTGGGTCAGAACAGCAGCAGCCTCCCCACTGATCCCTGGTGCTCCTCCCAGGCCTGGGGCACTCACCACTTCCGAAACACTCCTCCCCATCCCCACTGGCTGCCAGGAAGGGTTACACCTTGTCCGTAACCCTTGGAGAGCATTGTGTACCCCAGAGGAAGGTGGCAGTGGTGGCCTTCCAGCTGGACCCAAGGCCATCAGGCCATACTGTGGGACTGCAGGACCTCTCTGGCTCCACTGACTCCCTGCCTCTGGGGGCAGGCAGCAGTGAGGCAGGGTCCCTGGTGGAGCTGGGGAAGAGGGAAGGTGCTGGCCCAGTGCCCTGGGTCCTGGAACTCCCTGTCCACCCCTGCTCCACGGCGTCCCTGCAGCCCCTGAGTCCACCTCCTCCACAGACTGCTATGTAGACCTTCGAGGATCCCCAGCCCTGCTCCCGTCCACCCCCATGATGCCCCTGTTCCCTCACGTCCTGGACCTGCTGGCCCCCCTGGATACCAGCAGCAGGGCCGCCCCCAGCATGGAAACTATGGATGACTTCTCAGACGGGGACGTCTTCGGGCCAGAGCTGGACACCCTCCTGGACTCACTGGTGAGCCCCACTGCCACCCTCCTGCTCCCTGAGCTGTGTCCCCCTGAAGTCTCTTAGTCTCACAACGTGTCCCTGCTGGGGAAACAGGCCTCGAGAGGGACTGGCCAGCGTACAGACAGCCACTCTAGAGGGGATGGAAGGCTGAGGCCAAGCCACAGCGAGCAGCAGGCTGCTTGCTTCCCAGAGGGCCCGACTCTGCTGGGGCAGGCGGCCGCACTCTCCCCTGACCCTGCCTCTGTCCCACTCCCAGTCTCTGGTCCAGGGCGGCCTGCCTGGTGGTGGCGTGCCCAGCGAGCTGCCCCAGCTGATTCCCGTGTTCCCTGGCGGGACCCCGCTGCTGCCACCCGTGGTGGGCGGCTCCATCCCCGTCTCCAGCCCACTACCCCCTGCCTCCTTTGGCCTCGTCATGGACCCCTCCAAGAAGCTGGCTGCCTCTGTGCTGGATGCCCTCGACCCCCCAGGCCCCACACTGGACCCTCTGGACCTGCTGCCGTACTCGGAGACCCGGCTGGATGCCCTTGACAGCTTCGGGTCAGCCAGGGGCTCACTGGACAAGCCGGATTCCTTCATGGGTGAGGCCTGGGTGGTGAAGCCTCTCTGCCCTGCTGGCATTTTGCAAGGACCTGTTGCACCTCTGGTCTCTGGAGGTTGGAGGGGGTTGTACCATGTGGAGCCAGCCTCTGTCTGTCCTGTTCACATCCAGAAGGCAGAGCTCCAGTAGCAACGGACCCTAGGGGCCTAGTCTGGTGATCTGTGCGCAGCCCCCAAGGCCCCGGCCCCCTGGGGGCTCCCACCCAGAGGGCCCTGAGGCTGTGGGCAGGGGGTGCCAGGGATCAAGAGGAAAGTGACTCGTCAGCGCCCTGGTGGGACTGTCTTCCCACTGTCAGATGCAGCCCGCTCACAGCAGGACTCAGCAGGGTGGACAGGAGGAAGTGGTGATTGGGGCAGGTCTCGGGAGAGAAGTTCACAGGCTGGCAGAGGAAGCAGTTCCAGGCTCTGGAGGTGCAAGGGTCAGGGACCGCACCGGGGACCCAGGTGGCACGAGTGGGGCACAGCCTCCAAGGAACCATGAGCCAGGCCGAGCTCGGGCTTCATCCTGGGGCAGAGGGGTGGATGTGCTCAGGTTGTGACCAAGAACAGAGGGGAGACGGAGCAGGGGTCAGCGTGAGTAGGAGAGGACCCGGGGCCTGGGGGCTTCTCTCAGTCCTGTGGGGCCCCTCATGCCCTCAGTGGCAGGGCAGTGATACCCATGTCTCCTCCCTGTCCAGAGGACACCAACTCACAGGATCATCGGCCCCCAGGCAGCATTCAGAAGCCAGTCCCCTCGGTGAGTCAGCACCTCCCAGCCCTGGCCTCCGTTCCTCGGGTGGGGTGGGGTGGGGTGGACTCCACTGTCTCCACACTCCGCTGCCAGCCCAGGGACTTTTGAGGCCAGGCTGATATTCTAGGCTTCTGGACCACAAGGGCTGAAAGGGTCTGGGCACCGATTCTGTATTTGGGTAGGACGGGAGGTCAAAGAACACCCCCACCTCAGGGCCCAGGCCTGTCCTGGGGCTCCCACACGTCACTCAGGGCCCGACCTCCTCCATTAACAGCCGGAGCCCTCCATGCCCAATACCGCCCTGCTTATCAAGAACCCCTTGGCTGCCACCCACGAATTCAAGCAGGCCTGCCAGCTCTGCTACCCAAAGACAGGTAATGTCCCAGACGTGGCCACACCTTCTGGCCCCAAGATGGTGAGAATCTCCGAGTGTGGGAGCCCCGGATGAAAGGCCCAGTGCCTCAGCGGAGTTGCATGCCTGAAAACGAGCTCCTCTGGGGAGGAGAGGAAGCTGGGCACTGGGGCCCTATCTCTGCCAGTCACCAACCTCCCAGGTCCTTCTCAACAAACCTTGATATGCGCAGGTCTGTCGTGGTCAGGGCTGTCGTAGAAAGGGGTGGGGATGGTGGCTCTTCAGCGCCCCACTCCAGACCACTGTCCACAGAGAGCACCGAGCGGGGAAGGGGCGGCAGCTGTAGGAGGCCCCAGTAGGGCTTTCTGGTTCCCACCTCAGCCAGGGCCTGCTCTCATCCTCATTACCCCTCGGTTCTGCCTGTACTCACTGTCCCTGTCTACCCTGCACCAGGCCCCAGGGCAGGCGACTACACCTACCGCGAGGGCTTGGAACACAAGTGCAAGCGGGACATCCTGCTTGGGCGACTCCGCAGTGCTGAGGACCAGACGTGGAAGCGCATCCGGCCTCGGCCCACCAAGACTAGCTTCGTGGGCTCCTACTACCTGTGCAAAGGTGGGTGAGCTGCAGCGAGGGCCCTCGCTCTCTTCCTCCCAGCCACTGCCCTGCTGGTCACAGGAGCAGATGTGGCCCTTGCAGCTGCAGGGGAGGTTGGAAGCTGAGGCTTGGGGGGCCCCACAGCCACAAGGATGAGTTCTGCATTCCAATGAGCATCTCCTGTCCCCCTGGGCCCATGGACAAGTGAGTACCACTCAGGTCCCCCAGTCATGGAGAGCCGATTTCTCCTAGAGGGTTGTTAGGAGGATGTGAGAGCATCTATAGAGAGCACTTAGGACTGCCGTGTATGTAGGAGGCTTCATAAATGTTAGTTTTTATTTATTTACTAATCTTTTTTCCAGCACTGGAGATTATACCAAGGGCTTTTGTACTGAGCTTTCTCCCTAACCCCTTCTTACTCTTTATTTTGAAACAATTACTAAGTTGCCTAGGCTGGACTCAAATTTGGAATCCTGCTGCCTCAGCCTCCCAGAGTGCTGGGATTATAGGTGTGTGCCGCCATGCCTGGCTAAACGTCAGTTCTGTTTAATGATTATGTCATTGTCCTCACTGGCTTGTGGCAGTTCGGTCAGTGTCAAGTGGACTATCACCACGTGCCTTATTTGCTTTCTTCTCTTTCCAACTTGTCCCATCTGTGTGGTTCATGAACTGGCAGGTGATTAAATGCTTTCCAGCGGCACCCTCTCCACTCACTGTGAGACATCCTTATAACTCTGGATGAGGAAGCTGAGACTTGGAAAGGCCACCGAGGCTTTACCTCTGTCCCCAGTCCTGGCCTGTGGTAGTCACCCATTCAGCTTCTGAATCATTTAATGTCCTCCCTGCAGCCCTGCCTGTGGCCACGGGGATGAAGTCCAAATTGTACCAGGCCTGTGGGTACCCACATCTACCTCCTCACCCTCTGCCCTAGCTATTCCCCAAATACTCCCACCCCAACTCCACTGCACACGCTGTTTCTCAGATCCTGGGGACCCTCTCAGGCAGAGGGCACCTGCCTCTGCTAGCGCCCAGAGATGGGGGATCCCATGCATCTCCACAACCCAGTGTTCTTTGCTCACAGAAAAAGATGGCTAAGGCTCAGGGGGTAACAAGGAATCCGAAACCTGACTGAGTCAGAAGACCAGTCTCTTGATCCTGAAATTCTCGTTTCCTGGTGAATAATAATTTCTTGAAACCCCTCCGATGATACAGAGGCTCTTACACCTCTACAAAGCCCTTTTCCTACTTTTTTTCCGGGGGGATACCAGGGATCAAACTTGGATCCTTGTGCTTGCGAGGCAGGCGGAGGAACCACGGAGCTAAATCGCCGGCACCCGCTTTCCTACTTTTTGCCTCACTTGACCTGCTAAAGACAGCCCTAAGGGTGCAGGCAGGCGTGATGACCGAGCGCTGCAGGTGCCGAGCACAGAGGGCCTGGGCCTGGCATCCTTGGGGGAGTAGTAGGCACCAGCACCCCACCTGGTGGTGTTGAACCCACCTGGCCACAGCGGGATTGCGGGGGCGCTGCAGGCTGCTGTTCCCGCCTGGCGGAACTGTGTCCTGTTGCCTCTTTGCAGACATGATTAACAAGCAGGACTGTAAGTACGGGGATAACTGCACCTTCGCCTACCATCAGGAGGAGATCGACGTGTGGACCGAGGAGCGGAAGGGCACCCTCAACCGCGACCTGCTCTTTGACCCACTGGGAGGTGTCAAGCGTGGCAGCCTCACCATCGCCAAGCTCCTCAAGGAGCACCAGGGCATCTTCACCTTCCTCTGTGAGGTACCTGCCGCCTGCCCACCTCGCTGCCTCTCCCTCAGTACAGGGTGCATGCATGGCTGGGGTGCCCCTTTGCCACAGGCCATGGTGGGGCCAGCTGTGGATCTAGTAGATCCCTGGGCTGTCTGAAAGGTGGGCCCTGAGGAAGGAGCCTGTCTGCTAGAGCCAAGATCTGTCCTGCACCCTCACGACGCAGAGGTGGAAAACGATAGTAGCCCCACCACCTGTTCCTCTTTGGCAGCCGGTCACATGCCAGGCTTTAGATCTTTGTCCCCACCTCACAGCAGCGATCCCTTTACACTCAGTGACGCTGGAATCCAGGGAGGTAAGGCGCTGTCTGAAGGGCACACAGCTAGTCCAGATCAGAGCTGAGCCTCAAGCCTGGAGTCCAGGCCCACGTCCCGGTGCTAGCTGCCCCTGGTGGGCCTCACAGCCAGGACCATAGGACTGGGCACAAAGGGGATTGCCCAGGGTGGCCCCAAATCCTCAATTGTCGGTGTGGTTGGTGCTGCTCAACTGAGCAGCTGAGCAAGGTGTCCACACCCTTGCTCGCCAAGCCAGCTTCAGTGCCCCTGCCTTCCTGCCTGTGTCCTGGCTGTGCCCTCCCCAGAGAGCCGTGTTCCTGAGCCTCAGACTCCCAGGCTCAGCTCCGATCCCAGCGACTCCCCTGAGGAGACACTGGGCCTTGAGGGTGACCTTGCCCTGCCTCCCCTCTGCGCCCTATCTTTGCAGGGGGCAGGGGCAGTGTCGTGTCTGTGTCTGGAGTGTTGCTGGCTCAGTCTTGCTCTGTCTGCAGCACAGCCTGCCCCTTCCCTGACCTGAGTGCCTGCTCCCTCAGGGACAGAGGCCTGGAGACCACGGCTGGGTAGTGGAATGTAGGTTACAAAGCACCTGTAGTTCCTTTTTATTTAATTTTTAAATCTTCTGTGAGCCTGTGGGACAAAGCAGGTGTGACTGTCCTAGCTTACAGTTGAAGAAACTGAGGCCCAGACATCAAAAAACTCTTTGCCCCAGGCATTGGGAGTTGTGGGGTCTGAGAAAGGGAGGAAAGCGAAGGACCCACAGCCAGGTTACCTGTGAACTAGAGCCACAGACATAAGGGTCATGGACTCTGGGACTCTGTCCCCTCTCCCCGGAACCAGGTGTCCCGGCGGGGTCCCAGCCCACCCCCTCCCCAGGTGTCCCTGCGGGGTCCCAGCCCCTCCCCTTCCTGGGCAGATCTGCTTTGACAGTAAGCCCCGGATCATCAGCAAAGGCACCAAGGACTCTCCGTCTGTCTGCTCCAACCTGGCCGCCAAGCACAGCTTCTACAACAACAAGTGAGTGGGAACTGAGGGCGCTGGAGAGTCCCCTGGGTGGCTCAGATGGCTGGGAAAGGCTGTGGCCAAAACGTAGACCTAAGGAGTCTGGTCCAGGGGCAGGAGCCACATTTATTAGGCACCTATTACATTCCAAGAATTTGGTGATCTCAGTGGTCCTCTGGGAGGACTGCAAATCCCTCTTGGACAGAAGAGAGAGCTGAGTTCAGGCAGTGCAGGACCAGATCTCTGACGCCTGCCCAGCTCCCAATACTGTCCTGATGTCAATGTCAGGCAGGAAGTGGGAGCCTGGGCCCAGCCTGGCACCCCTACCTTTGCACCATCCTCTCACCTCGCTCTGCCCCACACTAGGGGATGGGGGCCCGGGAGTCATGCAGACCCAGGCCCACATCCCGGCCTCGCCGGAGCCCGGCCAGGTTTATGATGGTGCACTAGCCATTGCCATCTTAGTTTTCTTCTTCTGCAAGGCTGGGGAGGACCAGATCTCCAATTGCAATGAGAGTCATTAAGATTCCTGGCCCAGGGCTGGGGATTTAGCTCAATGGTGCCACCACCTGCCTCACACAAACAAAATCCTGAGTTTGATCCCTGGTACCAAAAAAAAAAAAA